CCGCGACAGGCTACTGGCCGAGGGCATCTGCGACAACGACACGGTGCCCAGCGTCTCCTCCATAAACAGGTAGGAGCAGCCCTGCCGCCCCCGCCCGCGCGCCCCTTCACGGGCCCCCAAACCACCGCAGAGGCTGCGGGGAGCGCCCCGTGCCTCCTCCGCCGGGTTAGATCCGCGCGGCTCTGCACAGCGCGGGGCTGCAGCCCTAGCCCGCGGTTTTCCCTGTCCCTCCGCAGCATTCCCGGACTTCCCGTGCCCTGCCAGGCGTTACAAAGGTGCCGAGCCGGGCTCGGCCCGCGGGGACGGCCCGCGGTGTTCCCAGGGAGGGATGCTTGTTGTGAGGCACTCACGGTCTCAGATTCGAGGTGGTAAAAATAACCATATGACAGATAGGAAATGATTGATGTAGGTGAGAAAAAAATAAGAAAAGGCCGCGATACGTATCACCGATATGAACACGCCGCAGCACTCGCGCTGCTCACAGGCAACGCGCACCGGGGCCTCTTCGCACGCTGCCTGCACGCGGGCGCCCTGTCACGCAGCCGCTCAAAGTAATCCCGCTGCTGGGCTCTAGCATCTTCACACACACCGGCTGCGACCACAGAAACGCAAACTCTAGGACACAGCGCACGAACAGGCACTGTATTCTGTTGCACACAGTCCCAGCACAGAGCTCCCCGCCCAAATAAATGTATATAAGGTATATGCAAACACACACACAGTCTCCTTTAGTGCATTCATAGATAAAAGATGCGCGAGTTGGTATGTTGGTCTTTTTGATATATAGCAAGTTTAGCCTTTTTTTTTTTTTAAACCTGGTGAATTTATGGCAAGGAAACAAAAATAAATAGCAGGGGAAACAGAGTGGTATTTTTTGTCTTGCACTTTTCATAGCAGATTTATCAAAATATGTCTAATAACTCAGGCTGTGTATTTCTAAATCTGGCATCCTATATAAATGGGTTTTAATATTTTGCAAATGATATGGAATTATCCCAAATCATCTTGAAAACAGCAGGTAGAATTAGCTAGTGGAATGTACCTTGGCTGGGGAAGATTCCCTCAGACACAATGTCTCTGTAATATACTGCTAGGCTACCCTAGGAAATTATCCCTGTGTGTGCCATCTGTATTAAAATGGTTATTAAGTTATGAACAGGGTAACATAATACTGATCGGCTAATTATACACCCTCCTAAAAAACCTCCAGGTCTCTGTTACTCTCTCAGTCAGGTACTGAAATAATAACGGTTTGACATTCAGACACCTTGCAAAGGCAGCTGTGGAAGGACAGGCAGCTTTCCCTGCAAGGAATGAAGCCAGGGAGAGGGCTGCTCAGGAAAGGCTGGGAATTCTGTTCTTTGCAGGAACAGAATCCTGTTTTCTGGGAAATGTAGAAAACCAGGGCTGGCACACACATACTTCCAGCTTCAAGGATATCGGCGACCGGAGTCCCAGCCTTTTGCTTTCCGAACGCGGCGCCCTGCGTCACGGCTGCCGTGTCCTGGGCTATTCTGCTCTTGCCTTTGCCACCAGCTTGTGGCCGGGCTCGGGGGGGTGCACCTCGATTTTCCATCCTGGAAACGAGGGCCGATCCTTGCCAGAGGGAGGAGGGAACAGGTGTCCGTGAATTTGCACTTATAAAATGCTGTGAAAAGGACAAGTGCTTCGCAACTGCTAAGTATTATTATATTGAAGAGGCTCAGCTGTGACCCACTGTATTTGATTCAGACAGTGACGGCATCTCAGTGTGTAGTCACCAAAGCACAGGGCATTTTGGCTTTGTGTGATTAAGACGTTCCCCATTCCTTCAAAACCTCAGGCTCAGCTTCGCAGTGCTCACCTTTGCGTGGGGCTCCCCCAAATGCTTATTTGTGAGGAAACGAACCCAAAATACCACAGATCAGAAAATCAGCAGGTTTGTGCTAGGTGAGAGCAGGACATTGGGCTGCGAAAAAATTCCCACAAAACAGGAAGGAGCGAGCGTGGAAAGGCCCGAGCCGGCTGCTGCGGGCGGCAGCGCGGGCTTCGCCAGCGCCAAGGAATCAGTAACCAGCTCACAAAACACAAAGACAGGGCTAAGTTCACAGTTCAAATATACATTTTGCTGTTCCCCATTGCCAAAGTAAACACACAGAATTGGGCAATCATTTGTAACGGCGCATTCCTTGTGTTCCCCTTCCTTACTGTGTGGTCATAAATTGGACTTAATCTGACGTTCTGACTCCCCGAGCAGCTTCGGGCAGATGCCGATTTTTAAAACCAATCTGCTAGAAATACCTATCTTTGTATTTTCTCAAAATGTGGCATTTCCACGGGAAAACTGCCTTGGCCCATTATCCAGAACTGTTAGAACTACTTCGTTGAGGGTTTTAGTATCTTGAGACTACGAACGAGGTGAATTTAGACGGTATTGAGACTTGTCAGTAAGTTCATCATCTCAACCTCATGCAAATACAAGGCACATCCAAAAAAAAAGAAGTCTTAACTACCCCCCCAAGAATCAGCAAAAAAATTACCTTTCACTATGTGATGGCCTTGCTTTAATGGTGGCAAAAAATCGAGGCAGTGCATTAGTTACTGGGTAAAGCTCATGAAAACAGAGCATCAAGGCAAAGCAGTTGTCTCTACAATGGGACCTTCCTGTCCTCCTTTCATACAGTGGGTGCAATACATTATACGGCTATTTTATACATGTAGCACCCGCACACATGAATATATACATATATATGTACGCACAAGTATATATGTAAATATACACAGGCATATGCAGCACATGTAATTGAGAAGCAGCTGAGTGACAGAAATTCTTAATTCTTTGGTAAGCAATTAGCACTTACTGCAGATCTCTGGAGCATGGGGCGTCCTAAGAGAACTCTTCCATCTACCCTGTGGCTACAGACAAGTTATCTTTGGTCACTGTGGGCTAGAACACTTCCACCGGGTTCATTTAGGCATTCCTGCGAGCCTTGCGGTGGCCTCCCAAGAATGAACTTGGCAGCAGATGTTAATGAGAATTTTTGCTTTGTTTGTAGCACGTACAGTTAGCCTAAGAACGCACGTTTCATGCGATAATAACCAGTTCGAGCAAAATCTTCGGAATTAGACCATGTGCTTTGGTGGGAGCAGGAGCAGGCACATACTGCACACACATGCATGGCTGTGCAGCCGGAGATGCAATAGCTGCTGTAGTTTTAGCACTATTCTCTGTCTCTCTTAAATACATGAATTCCATTCAGTTCCACCAAGGCAGAGCAGAACAACCCTCTTGGAGACAATCTGTGCCTCTATCCCAGCTTTCCCGTGGTCAGTGCCTGGGGCTCTCTGTCAGTGCTTTTCCAAGGAATGCAGAAGCCAAAGGACTGTGGGGTTACACTACAGAACAGTTGGCCTTCTGCGTACATCCCAGACTGTGGACTTCTGAGAGCAGATCCGCTATCCCATGGCAGAGAATGGAGCTTAGTGGCCATATCAGCTCAGTCAGGCTGTCAGATGTATTTGCTGTTTCTCTTAGGTATTGAGTATATATTAATTTCCTGCGTTATGTGCTTGGTTTGGGGATATGTTTTCTGCTACATTATATACAATTGGTAATCATTCCTAGTTAAAACCTCCATTAATTATGTGTTTTTTTATAAATACGTATGGGAAGAGACATACATTGATTCAGGTCATAATAGCCAAGGAAATTTGCTTAATCTACAAAGAAATATTGAGCCTGTGACCAATTTCAGTGACCAAGGACAGGCTTGTATCTCAGAGCAAAGAATGGCATATTAGGAGATCAGGTTTTTCTTACCGTTCTCCCATTAGCCTTCTGGCTGATCTCGGTCTATCAGAAGAGCTTCTCGTGCGGTAGTTTTAACCTGCAAAATAAAAACAACAGTATTCAGCTACCTTCTCAAAATCAGTGTAATCCTTCCACAAAGAACTCAACAAAGAACCAACACTCCAGCCAATGCCGCTGGTGAATTTCCCCCTACCTTTCCCACCAAACAGGATGTAAAATCTGGGGTTCCTGGAACATATGTAATGATTCTAGGGAGAAGTGTGAGGAGCACAGAGCAGCTCTACCAGCAGCGTGTTCTCAGTGACCAAACACAGTGACCGCTGCGAGGTCTGCAGTGAAGGCTGGGTGAATCGCGCAGCATCTAAGGGCGAATGTCTGCGTCGCCCAAACCTGCGCCCTCTCACTTTTTGGTGCATGCAGGAGCAACTCAGGATCCTATCAGGGATCCTCCCATTTAGCTGATGCAGAGTCCAAGGTTTCCACTGAATTTTCTGCACCAGGGCACCCTCTCGGGGTAAAACACTTCTACTGCCAGCTGCCTTCAGCCAAGCCAAGAATGCAGTTGGGTCACACAGGGCTTCGTTCTAAGGAACATACCCTTTAAACTCAGATTCTTTGCCATCAGACACAAACCTGGTATTGTCATCTTTTCATCATTGCAAATAAAGGCCAGGCTCATAAAGCAGAGGTTACAGACAATGTTACTGCAGCTGCAAGGGTAAATGAATGCTCGCAGCGTTCCGCTTTGTCTTACTCCTCATATCTGGTCGCTGGAAGGTTGTATGGAGATGACTACAATAAAGCAGTCACTTTTTTTTCCCCCCGATTTTTCTGTGATGCAGGTATCAGCTCAGTAGATGCGGTATTGTTGTGAGTGGGAAGTTTTGAGCTTCCTGTTGTGTGAACCTAGAAGCCTGATACCACATCAGTCTCCTTATCATATAAAAATGCCAGTCATTCCTTTTGTATAGGCATCAAAAGCTTCATTTTTGTTGGAAGTTACATATTTTCAAGCATTTGCATTTAGTAAGTGGTTATGGCACTCCACCACAAAGGTAGCTGCATTTCAGCACTGGGTGAAAGAGTCTTACAGAGCTAAACCTCATTTACCAGAATCACTGTTTGTTTTTTTTTCTTTAATAATTTGACTTTTGTGAAGAAAAAGGAGAAAATATAAGTGGCTTGGCCATGCAGTGATGAAGCGGTGAGAACAATACAGAGATCTGAAGGGCACAGTCCCTCCAACGGGAAGGGAATTATTCTGGTTTAACAAAGCAGT